ACAAAATAGCACCACTTGCTTTTTTTTTTGAGTTCTTTAAGAATTTTTTAAATATATAAAAACGTTAAATATTCTTGTGATAATTTTTGTTTGTTGCAATAACTAATTGTTATCTCCTTTAAAAAAAAAAATAAATAAAATTAGTAGATCGATATATTGCTAAATATATCGAGGAGAACTTCTTGAGACTTTCCAGCTGTAAGTGGTTTTATTTTATTTTTTGCAGCTGTATATGTATGTATATACATACATTTGATAATAATTCCTATTGATTTTGAAGATGTAATTTTGTTTATTATATACATACATACATACATACATACATACATATTTATGCCTACCAAAGCCCTACACCAAATGTTTCCAAGAAGCAATTCTCACTGCAATTGCATATGTTATTACCGATTAAATGCTACACACATACATACATATATATATGTATACCAAAGATATATGTATGTGTGTACACTCATAGCTAGCTCTTATCGAATCAACTGTAATGTCGAAGCTTGGCTTCGGCACACGCGTTTTGTTAATACATACATACATACATACTAGAGTTGTACTAGCCTTAGAATGAAACTACCGCACATTAGCACACACACACATATATATGACTGTATTTATGTATGTATGTATGTGTGCGTGTGTGTGTGTATTTATTCAATATTTAATGCATGTGGTTTATGGGGCAATCGAGTCGCCCATATTACATACATTTTTATAGCTACAATTGGAGCAATGGGAATCCAATTGGAAAATGGAATCGGCCTCGAATTGGATAATCGACCAGCCGGATTGAGTGAAAGCCGTCAAAGTAACTGAACAAGCAAACACCAAATATGTACCCGATGGATGAAAGTAAATCAAAAAAAAAAAAAAACGAATTCAAAAAAACGAATATAAATATACATCGATTATTAAAAAAAAAAAAACATACAACACCAAATGAAAAAGGTCTAAATATATATAAATATATACAATATATACATTGTTTAGCATACAAAATTTAACTTACAACAAAACGAAGCTGCAATAACAACAACAACAACAACAAATTAACTAAATAGCTAACTACAATAGATACTGCAAAACGCAACATCAAGTAGAAAATCGCTTTATAAGAATCCATTTAAAATTCAAAGTTTACAAATGTAATTCAAAAAGAAGAAGAAGAAAAACAAAAATTTAAGAAGATATAAAAAACCGTAGAGTTGGCAAAACAACTAAATACAAGTGTTAAATGACCTCTTAGAGCCTTTTAGTGAAAGCGATTATTAAACTATATACATAAAAACATAAATATATATACACATATTGTATATAGAGTATATATACATTGTCAGGCATGCTCTCGATTTGCCAAGTCTGCGCACATTTCAGGCAACTTACAAAGCGCACACGAAGAAACTCGACGAATGCCCTGCAAATGTGTGCTATCGAGAGCATTGGCCAACCAATCGATATTTATCGTTCGCGTACAGTCAGTCATACGGGTGCCAGCGAGGCATCGCAATGCGCTCTTTTATTCTTGATATATCTCTTAGATAAGCCAAAGAACATAAATCAAATAATCGAATTACCAAATTGTGAAGTTATCGATCGATAAACATACTTTAAGTGAACTAGAAAGCAAAAACGAAAACGCACACGAAAAAAAATATATATACATATATACATATATATATATACATATATGTGTATATATACAGAGGCAAATTCAATTCTAAATTCTACTTAATAATCAAAGTACTTTTGCAATGAGCTCTTATCGAAAGCGAAACAAAAGAGATATGAATATATATGCTATATATATGTCATATATATACATATTTGTAAAATGAATATTTAACTTTTGTATAACTAACGAAAATATTGTTCAAATTGATCGATATCTAACCAAGCGAAAGAACGAACAAAGAGGAAGTGTAGACAAGAGATGACGAAACGAAGCCCACAAAACAAAACGCAAACAAACGACAAAATGAGAAATTCTATTTTACTTGAATTATTGTAGCCTTAAAGCGAAAGAAACTTATAAAAAACAAAAAACTCAAATTAAATAGCAACACAAATTATATTCGTTGTAAATGTTAATGAAACTACATATGTGTTAAAGAGCTTGCAAATTGCAAGTGAAACAATTCTCAACAATAACAAAACGAAGCCACAAAAACATTACGAGCATAGCTATAGAAATGAAAAAATATATATACATATAGATATATATATACATATATGAAAAACCAAATGATAATAATTCCAAATATTACAAATTGATGTGTCCGCATATTTGAAATGAAAATGAAATCAGAAAGAAGTTATACATACACGTACATAAATGAATAAATTCATGAATATATTATTGAATAAACAATATTACATACAATAAATAAAATGTTATTAACTGATTCAACTCTCTAACAAACCATATCTCTTATTTATAACGGTAAAGTTCATGTGAATTACAAGTCGAGTGCACTGCTTGCTTTAACAGGAATCTGTTAACTTAACACACTCCCAGCAGACGCATTTGCAGTTGCTTGTGCAGTTGGCTAGGGCAAGGTCGCATTTACTTGTCGTCTACCTAAAACCAGATTAGATACTAGAAGCCACACAAATCTACCCATATATGTACATATGTATGCATATACGCTCAAGCAATATCATCTGATAGCGCTTTACACAGTCTTAACAGCATTGGCAGCCAGTTTACAGCCCTGTTAAATCATAGTATATTGAACTCTAATCTAAATCCAATTGACTTTGCATACAAGCGAACGTTCATACATGCATACATATATATTCTGATTAGCAACAAGCCGCAGCCGATTGTGCTCATTGGCTCCAATTGGAATTGCGATTGCAATTGCAGTCAATCAAATTGGTTTCATCAATTCCAGCGCACAGATGTCGCTTTTGACTTTGCTGCTCGGTCTGTTTGTCTGCCTGTGCCTGGGGCTGTGGCACCTGCGTCAGCGCCTGCAACTGGGCTGTAGCCTGCCTGGACCCTGGGCCATGCCCGGCTTAGGCAATGTCCAGATGATTGGCAAACTGAAGCCAGAGTGTGAGTCGAGCGCAGCGCCAGATCGAATTGGAGTCCAGTTAAAAGCTTCTTGTTGCCGCAGTTATATTTCTGGTGTTTACAGAGCTGCGCGAACGCTTTGGCGCCACCTATCGCCTCTGGCTGGGACCTCAGCTGTGGGTGTTTCTGCACAGCGCCGAGGAGACGCGCCAGGCACTGCACGATCCGACGCTGCGCAAAGCGGACACCTTTCAGCAGCTCTCACCACTCATTGGCAATGGCCTGCTGATCAGCCATGGCAGCGAGTGGATGGCACAGCGTCGGCTGCTAACGCCCGCCTTTCAGCCGCAGCTGCTGCGCAGCTTTGCGCCTGCGTTGTCCACACATGCGGAGCGCCTGCTTCACCGGCTGCAGCGAACAGGCGGAGATGCCATCGAGGTAACGGATTACCTTTTCGCCTGTCTTCTGGACTGCATTGTGGGTAAGTGTGGTATAAATAGTGACACCACAGTCGGCGCTCGAGCACTGTATCATTGAATGAGGACATTCTAGAGCTGGCAAATTTATTTATTCATGAGCTATCGATTGCCTACAAATTATCGATATGTAACGTTTGATTTTCAAACAAGCGCTGGCAGCGCCACAATCACTTTAATAACTTTACTAACTCGAACGTCTAATAAATAAATAAATGAATAACTCTAACCGTAGACAACTCAATGGGCTATGCGCTGGACACGCAGCTGGCCGAGCACTCGCCCATTGTGAGCGCCTTTCATCGCAGCAGTGAGCTGCTGTTCAAGCGCATGATTAATCCTCTGCTGACCTCCGATTTTGTGTTCAAGCGTACGCGACTTTGGCGCGAGCTGTGCGTTCAGCTGCGGGTGATTCACTCGCACATGGATCGAATTATCGAGCAACGCGAGAAGCAGCTAATGGCAGAGCAGCAGCAGCAGCCAGAGCAGGAGCGGCGACCTCGCATACTCTTGGATGCAATGCTGCTGGCGGGGCTGAGCCGTCAGCAGATACGCGACGAAGTGAACACATTTGTCTTCGCTGTGAGTTATCACTGCCACCTCCCCTCTCTTCCTCGCACTATCTGTAACTCGATCGTCGACAGGGCGTGGACACTACCACGGCGGCCATGGGCTTTGTGCTCTATGCCCTGGCCAAGCAGCCGTCGGTGCAGGAGCGCTTGCACACCGAACTCTCTCAGCTGCCACCAGATGGCGCCACGAGCCTGGATGCTCTCAATGGGCTTGACTACCTGGATGCCGTGCTCCAGGAGACTCTGCGCATGTACACCATAGTGCCCAGCACGGGCCGCCAGACGACCCGAGCCACGACGATTGGCGGGCGACGCTACTGCGCCGGCGTCACCCTATGGATCAACATGTACGGCCTGGCGCACGACGCCAGCCACTTCGCAGCGCCATACGAGTTTCGGCCAGAGCGCTGGCTGCAGGCGCGGCAGCAGCCCGCTCCCTTTAGCTACATACCCTATTCGGCTGGGCCACACGTGTGCATTGGCCGCCGCTACTCGCTGCTGCTGATGAAGCTGCTCACCGCTCGCATTGTGGCGCACTTTCGCCTGGAGCTGAGCCAGCCACTGGAGCCGCTTGTGCTGCAGGCCCAAATGGTGCTGCGCGCCCGGGATGGCATTCACATTAAATTTGTGCCGCGCGGAGGTGTATAAATACGAAACGACCCATATATACCCTGCACTTGTTAGCTTTTTCTTATATACATACATACATATGTATATATGTTTCAACAGAAGCTTTGTAAATTACCATTTCAAAATGAATATAAAATGGTTTATATACATATATACATATATGGATTTTTAAAATTTATATTGAACATTTTTCTTTTAAATTTTTTATTTTTCACTATTTTTTTATATATTTTTTTCCTTTTATTTATTAAATTGTTTAATATCTGCTATATTTTTAAACTATTTTTTATAATTTATATTTTATTTCATTTATTTTATTTTTTTTTATTATTTTAAAAAATATAATTTTTTATATACATATATATACATATTATACGCACATTTATTTTATTTTTTATTTTTTTTTGTATTATAAAAACATAAAAAAGTTTTATTTTTTTTTAATTATTTATATACATTATGTATATAAATTTGTATACATACATAAATTATTTATATACATTTATAAACATATATACATACGTATATATTTTTATTTAAAAAAAAAAATGCATGCCTGTTACATAAAAATATATATACATGTATATGTTTTATTTTCAACTACAATATTATTTATTTATATTTATATTTATATTTTTTATTTTAATATATTATATTATTATTTATATTTTTATATTTCAATCATAACAATTTAAAAAAATGTTTTTAATAATACCTATATATATTTTTACTCCCTATCGCTTCTGCAATAGTTCAATAGCCTATGCTCATCTGAGACAAGAAAGGAAATAATTATTTTATATACGTTCAAGTTTTTCGAATTCCATTAAGCGCAAACAAACAACCAAAGCAGAGGCCTGGCTGTCAATATATAGAATGGAAATATACCACATATATTGATAGACATAGACACATGTGTACATACACATATAATACTTCATTTTGTAGTTGAATTTTGTTCAGATTTGTCGTTTACATTTGCCCTCGTTTGTACATTGTGACATTTATATTTTGCACTCCGCCATTCGTCATGTCGTGGATGAAGCGTTCCGCCGCCACTGGTCAGGTCACGCAGCGCAACTTTCTGCGGGAGAACAAGCTGATGGTGCGCCAGACGCCGCTGATGACGCAGCGGCGCTTCGAGCGGGAGAGCATGAGGCATGGGAGGGACTTGCATCGCTGGCCGCCGGCCAGCTATGCGCTGCCGACAGCCGCCTCGCTGGCGCATCGGTCCGGCACGCTGCCCCTGATGGAGACGCAGCGACGCCTGTTCAACGGCGGGCGCGGCCTGGGTCGTGCCTTTCGCATGGTCGAAGACCGTTCGGAGAAGCAAATACAAACCGAAGACATTAGCGATGAGCAGTTCCTTAGCGCGGCGCTGCTCAAGTGCAAGCAGGTCTGCAGCGAGGGCGACGAGCTGCCCGTGCGGAGGGCGGTGGTTGGTGGCCAGCGGGATGGAGACTGCCTGCGACGCATCGCCTCCAATTTTGAGCTGGGCAAAGTGCCCACACAGCGCCTGCAGCCGTCGATGCAGCACAGAGCACATCAACGACTGCTTGGCTACGTTGTGGACACTGTGCCCGCTCAACTGCAGGAGAAGGCGTGCCAGCCGGACGAACTGGATAAGCTAAAGGCTGGCAGCAGCCCCAATTCGAATTTACCCAACGTCCAGCAGCTGGCCATACCCGACGTCACGGATGTGGAGCAGGAGCCGCAGCTCGATCAGTCCTTGAGTGCACGCACTCAGGTCTCCTGCCAGTCGCACAAGTCCAAGTGCGAGGAGCCGCCGCCCGCTACTCAAGCTCAGCAGACAACGGAAATGCCAAAGAATGGCATCGAAAAGGAGAGCCCCTGCCTGGACCAGGACCAGGACCAGGTGCTCCTTACGGAGTCACAGCGCATCTCGCTACTCCAGGCGGCCCAGTCGCGTCAAAAGAAACTCATCGGGGAGTACAATCGTCTACCCTTGTCCATGGGAACGCTGCGCGTGCGCAACCTGAAGCTCCAGCTGGAGCAGCAGCTGGATCTGGTCGACATAGACTTGAAAATGTTGAATCTGCCACAAGTATACATTAGACGTGACCACTTACAGCAAATCTCAAGTATCTCGTGTTGAGCATTTTACTATCGCATGGTCAGCAGCACCTCCTTGCTTCGCTGTCCATTCCATATTGCAAATTATTTTAAAAACTTAATAATGTGTACGCTGTTATTAAATGCATTTGGATGACAAATCTGCGTTATATTTCATTTGAATTTATTCTATGGGAGCTTTAATGTACTCAAGGATTCTTAAACTTTATTTCATTTCTCCTGCGAAAATAGATAAATATTCTTAATATTCTCCCATTTTTGGTTAAATTAAAATATAATAAAATTTACTTTATTTTGTATGATATATGATTTATGCAAATTATAGAGTATACATACTTTAACAAGATCAAAGTTCAGGGCATCTACTAGTCAGGCACCTCAGACTGTAGTTTTCTGTTTTTTTTTTTTGTGAATCAATAGTAGGCTTTGTAATTCATCTTGGGCTATATGCTCACTAAACAAAATGTTTTCGTCAGTTTTATTATATCTTCATACGAACGTGTTTCTATTTTCTAATTTCATAAATTCAGTTGCGTTAATTTATTAGTCTATGCATTTCAAACAAATTGAAATAGAAAACTATCGTTGCAACCGATAGTCACTACAAGAGTAATCAACAGAATCATCTTTTTCCATTGCGTGTGTACACACTGCTCATTCCAGGGCTGCGCCATACTGACGCCGCCGACCATTTTTTTATACCACCATTTTTCGAATTGCTTTAGATGCCAGCAGCAGTTGCAGCAGCTAGTTTTTTAATTAATTTATTGTATTAGTGTATAACTGTGAAATTTCTTAGTGCAACGCATATTCGAATATTGAAGCAATCAAAGAACTACGATTGCATACAAATTTTCATTGATAGAGAATATTTGGGTAAGTGAAAGAATAACCGAAATATCAATATGTGCATTTTATTTATGTGTATGTGTTATTCATCTCATGTAATTGCAATTGCAGCACCAGATTGCGTCGAACCATGTCAGACTCTGTGACTGTTGCTCTGCGCGTGCGCCCGCTGGTAAAATCTGAGCTCGATCGTGGCTGCCGCATCGCCGTGCAACGCGTCGCCGATGGAGTGCCACAAGTGACTGTGAACCGCACCGACTCCTTTACATATAACTACGTGTTCGACAGCCGTGACTCGCAGCAGGACGTGTATGAGTCATGTGTGCGCAGCAAGCTAAAGAAGTTGCTCCAGGGCTTCAATGTGACGATCCTCGCATACGGCCAGACAGGCTCTGGCAAGACCTACACGATGGGGACTGCATTCAATGGGGTCATGGACGAGCATGTCGGTGTCATACCACGTGCCGTGCACGAGATCTTTGAGGAGACCGCCTCCATGCACAATGATTTCCATTTCAAAATAACTTGCTCCTTTGTGGAGCTGTATCAAGAGCAGTTCTACGACCTGTTTTCGCCCAACAAGCGAGAGGATAGTACTGTGGATATACGCGAGGACAAGAACCGGATTGTTATGCCTGGAGTGACCGAGGTGGAGGTAACGCAAGCCAAGCATGTCACCGATGAACTAATGCGTGGCTCATCCGGCCGTGCTGTGGCCGCCACGGCAATGAACGAGACCTCATCCCGATCGCACGCGATCTTTACCATAACTGTTGTCGCCACCAAGAAGGTTGGGCAGTAAGTAGTGCCTCCGTCTCGTCATCCTAAATAGTTTTTAATATATATGACACTTGATTACGTAGGAAGTCGGTGACGACATCTAAATTCAATTTTGTGGACCTAGCGGGCTCTGAGCGCTGCTCCAAGACACTGGCTAGTGGTGACCGATTCAAGGAAGGCGTCAACATCAACAAAGGCCTCCTGGCATTGGGCAATGTGATAAATGTGCTGGGCTGTAAGTGAAATCTGAATCATATATATATAGACCACCTTGGATTAACCCCTCTGCTCTTCCAATCCTTATAGCTGGTCAAACATCGGGCTATGTGCCTTACCGGCAGTCGAAGTTGACACGCCTGCTGCAGGACTCGCTGGGCGGCAACTCGATTACCTTGATGATTGCCTGTGTTAGTCCCGCGGACTATAACGTGGCCGAGACGGTCAGCACATTGAGATACGCAGATCGTGCTCTGCAGATCAAGAACAAGCCTGTCGTGAATGTGGATCCGCATGCGGCAGAGGTAATGATGCTCAAGGACATCATACAGAAGCTTCGCGTCGAGCTACTCGCGTATGGCGGGGGCAGCGGCAACGTGGGCAATGGAGATGGACTCAGTCTCAGCTCCACGGAAGGATTGAGTGCACAAGAGGGGCGGAGGTACAAAGAGCAGCTAGAGAAGCTGCAGGAGGACTATGCACGAAGTGAGAGGATGAACCGCAAGCTGCAGCAGGAACTGCACCAAGCGCTGATCGATCTGGCCGAGAATGAGATCCGTGCCCACATCGCCGAAGTCACTCACGACAAGCTGAAGCTGCACCTCGTTGAGCTGAAGACGAAGCTGACTGAAGCCGCAATACCCAAGGCAGAGGAAGGTGGCCCCGAGCAAGACCAGCCGACAAACCAATCTGAGCTGGAGAAGCAATGGCGCGAGAGGATGCGAGATATCACGCAGCTGGTGTCGTGCGTGGACGAAGAGCTGCAGCAGACGGAGAACGCATTGCAGACACATCGAAAAGAATGCCTGAACGTTGACGAATCCAGCTCCGTCAGCGCAGAGTCGCACGAGCTTTTGGATTCGCGCGCAGAAGAGCACACGATGAAGCAGCTGTGTCTCAAGGGCGAACTGCGCGACATCGATCGGCAATTGACCCTGAAACAGGAGCTGCACGAGCGTGTTGCGCGCAACTTTAGCAAACTGGAAGACGATGGCATTGACGAGAAGTTTAAGCAGTGCGAGCTGAAGGTCAAACAGCTGGAATCGGAGCGAACTGAGCTGCTCGATCAGCTGCGGAGCACCAAGATGAAGGACACGTCCGCTAAGCTGGCCGAGGAGCGGCGCAAGCGTTTGGTGCTGCTCGAGCAAGAGATTACGGAGATGCGTCGCAAGATAATGCAGCAGGCAAATATAATAAAGATGCGTGAAAAGGAGCGCGAAAAGATCCAGAACCTCACCACCGAAATACGCGCCATGAAGGAGTCCAAGGTGAAGCTAATACGCGCCATGCGCGGTGAATCCGACCGCTTCCGGCAATGGAAGATGATGAGCGAGAAGCAGCTCACACAGCTAAAGAGCAAGGATCGCAAGATGCAGAGCGAAATGGCGCGCCAGCAAAATCTACATGCCAAACAGCGACTGGTGCTCAAGCGGAAGTGTGAGGAGGCGCAGGCCACTAACAAACGGTAATTGAATTTGATGTGCTGCAGGGCAATTTATATTTACTCTCAGTTTTCCTTGGTTTCCGTTCATAGGCTCAAGGATGCGCTGGAGCGGCAGAGAGCCGCACAAGCGCAACGCCAGCGCTTTACCAAGGAGCAACCGGGCGCAACTGATCTGGCTGCTTTTGTGGATCGCACCCTGGAGGTAATTCTTTCGCTAATCGATGCCGAGTACAGTCTGGAGCAGCTGATGGAAGATCGTGCCATTATCAATGCGCACTGCAAAGAGCTGCGGGAGCTGGCGAATCCTGATGCCGACCAAGTCAAGCTGTTGGCCAGCCTTGAGGAGGAGCTGGAGATGCGCAATGCACAAATCGAGGATCTGCAGCAGAAGGTCTGCACCAACGATCTGGACAGTCGCATTGCAGCGCTCTGCGACAGCGTCCAAAGTGTGAGCGAGTCACGCGGGCTCAACAAGCAGCTGCTGAAGAATCTTGTGCAGCAGCGACGCGATCAGGCACAGAGCATCATGGAGCAGAAGGTGCTGGTGGACGAGCAGCGCACCCAGCTGAACGAGGCGCAGCAGCGCATCGAGGAGCTCACCAAACGTCTACGCCAGGCGGAGCGAGAGCACTCTGAGCTTATGCTCAGCCAACAGCGCAGCTACGAGGAGAAGGTCGCGGTGCTGCTGCGCAGCTCGCATGCACTGGGCGGCAATGAGGCTCAGAACCCAGAAGATCTGGAACGGCAGCAGATAGTCGAAGAGCTGCTCGACACTAAAGAGAAGCTGCAACAGAAATTGGACCGTATTAATTCCAACACAAAGAAAACTCCCGTTTTCGATGAATCCGTGATCAACGACAGCATTGTGAGCGATGGCTTTGAGGATCATGACGACGATCCAGACTGGGTGCCCGAGATGAAACGTCCCAAGGTAAGCTAACAGAGTTGTACAGCTCTTGCATATCGGATTTAATCAACTCATATTCTCTCCAGAAATCGAATACATCGCTAAGCAACGGTGAGAATCCAAACAGTAGCTCCACCAGCAACAAAAACCACAACAACAACAACAACACTGCCAGCAACGACAATAGCCTACAGAGCACCATAGACATGAGCTCGATGGCAGATGAGAGCCGCAAATCATCAAAGAACTGCAAGTGTCGAACAAAGTGCAGCACAAGGCGCTGCGGTTGCTTCCTGACTAACACTGGTTGCACCTCCAACTGCCGGTGCCAAGGCAACTGCCAGAATCCGACCAACAAGGAGAACTCCACTCCAGATGCTCCACAGAACGAGACTGTTACGTTGGCCAGCGCCAACACAGATGGCGAGGAGGAGTCTGATGCTGACTTGGTCAAAACGAATAGTTTCTCCAGTCCCGCTGCTGTAACGGAGAAGAAACCAAGGTTATACCAGTAATAGCTCCTTGGTGTGCTCTTAAAAACTAATGCCTCTCATTTGCTTACAGAATGTCGCGATTGGATTTAAACACGCCCTCGACTAAGCAGAAGTTCTTCTGATGTGCGGAACTCGTATTTTGTTTCATTATTTTTTTTTAATATAAATAATATTGTTTTTAGCAAATAGAATTTATATATTTCTAAGGCTATTTAAAAAAAAAAATAAAAAAAATCCTAACTAAATTATGGTTTCTAATTCGTGTTCACTAGAATGAATGAGATAGTGATATAGTGCACGAAAGAGACGGCATTCATTATTTTATAATTATGATTGTTTTATATTGATCTGTGCGAAAAATGTTAAATTATATATATGATAAATATACTATATATATATATGTATATCCTAATTTTAAAGAGAATAACAAAATTAAATATTTTCAATTTTATAACAGTACTTAATTTTATTTACAATGTAAGAAGCAGCAGCTGGGGTTTTTGCGAGAAGCTGCCGAAAGGTACCTTCAACACATATATTCAACCCATCGCTTGGGGAGTTTACTAGCTGTTTAATCCGGAAGATTCTCCCGACAGTAAACACAATATTCGGAAGCCTTCCACTCTCGCCCAAGCGCAACAAGTCCTTCCCCCTCTCCAGCCTATCGCACTTCTGCTTGAGTGCAAGGTAATGCGCCTTGTGTAGCTTGCGTTTGAATTGCATCGCTTTTAACTTATTCTAGCAATGTGACGAAGCTGCAACAAACACGTCGAGCGCCCCAGCCGTAGTAAGAGTAGAAGTATTAATATCAATTCGATTGATAATCAGTATTTGCCGCCATTTATATGTTTACGTTTTCAAACTGAACAAATACCGTTGCTATCGACTCAATTTGGTTTTAATAGCAGCAGTGGTGTGTACACACTGGCCGTATGACAGCCCTGCAGCTCACACGCTGCTAAATTCCGTTAGGCTATTTGAATTTATATTCAAATTTGTTGTCTTAACGCATATTTTAGCTACTTCTTGTATGGAGTTAAAATATGAATTTTCGTCTATCATAAGCCAAGGTAAAACAGGAAAAGGCGCTCAAGGCTTAGTCCCTCTTCGATTGGGCTTAAAGGCGATGCAGAAGAGAGCAGTTTCTGTTATTTAGTATAGAGGTAAATTACTAGAGAATCTTACGATATATTGTTGACACATTTTATATTATTTATATATTTTATCCATTTTTTGTTTGTTTTTTTTTTTTTTCTAATAAAACACACAAGTTGAATGTAAATTTTATTTTGTTTATATATATTTTGTTGATCATTTTATTATCATTTTGTATTTGGTTCTTTTCTTTTGTTTGCAAACATTATTATGTATTGGCATGTGTTTGTGTGTCTGTTTGTGTGTGTGTGTTCGTGTGTATGAGTTATTTTGAAGGGATCGCGATTTATAGCTGGCGGCGGCGTTTTTGGGGCTCTTTGAATATGTTTATGCAAAAGTGTGGGCGTGTCTGTGTGTGTGTGTTGATTGTGTTCCTCAAAGCACCAATAACAGTAACAAAAATAAAAATTAAAAATATTTTAATATAATTAAGAAACATTAAATGAATGCAAAAATTCGACAGGCCGCGGACCAGAACACGATTGCTATCATTCACACCGTGCGTTTGTGTGTGTGTGTGTCAGTGTGTGTTTGTGTTTGTATTTGATGTTAAACAAATTATTCAAGTTTGATCTGTTCTCATTAAGTTGAATATGCGTTGTGTATGTGTGTCTCTCTCTGTGTTGTGCGTGTGTGTGGGTGTATAATAAATACGAAATGATTTAACAAATGAATAAGCAAATTCTGCTCCTTTGGATAAACTAAAGTGATGCTGGGACGAGCTTTAAGGGTCTTTTTCTTCAACTTATTTTCATTGTTTTTTTGTTGTTGTTGTTATAGTTATGCCATGTGGGCGTGTCTGTAGAGCTAACACAGCATACAAACATACATATATATATATATATATATATATATATATATATATATATATATATATATATATAATGAGAGCCATACATAACATGTATAAGTACATAAAAATCGAGGACTGCTGATGACAATGATAATAATGATAATGATGATGATGTTTGTTAATTTGGTGTGAATGATATTTAACAATTTATCAATTTACAATACATTAATGTACAAAGTTTTAAATTTAAATAATGATAATAATAAGTCTATATAAGTATACATAGATACATATACATATATATGTATATATATAAATACATTATATATATATACACACATACAAGGGCGCGTTACATTAATTTTTACTCGCTGCTACTAAAACTAAGAAAAAAAAAATTACACTTATAGAATTTATTATAAACTTAGAACTTGTTATTGTTGTTGCATGTGTGTGTGTGTGTGGGTGTGCATACATTCAGACAGTAGTATGCATACATATACATGTACATACATACACATATGTATTACTAGTTTTCTTTTTTCTCTCTAAAAATTACAAATCAATTTTTTTTTTAACAATTTTGAAAAATTTTTTTCTTTTTTCCTTTTTTTTTTGTACAGAAACTAACAACAATTAGTGTGTGTGTGTGTGTGCTTGGGTGTGTGTGTTTGTGTGCAACTTAGGCTTACAAGTAAAGATCATGACGTTGTTGTTGTTGTTGTTGTTGCTGATGCTGCTGCAGTTGTTGTGCGATTTGGTTTTTCTTGCATTTTGATTAATTATTTGCTTTGTGTTAATTACAGCTAATTAGTGGCAAAGAAAAAAAAAAACAAAAACAAAAAAAAAATAGAAGACTAATAGAAGGAGAAGTCAAGGAGACGCTTAAACCGTTTCCAGCACACGCACATCCTTCTGCACCACATAGAACTTGTGCTTCTTGCCCACCAGGCCCCAAATGACGGCCACGTTCTCGATGACGACGTTGACGGGTATCGTGCAAACGGCGCCCAGGACGCAGGCCAGAAACTTGAGCAGCCCGAAGCGGTAGAGCGAGAACGATTTGATGACACCAAACACATACATATAGATATTGATGGCCGCTATGAAGGCGCAGACAAAGTCAACGAGATTGGGGCAGGGTATCGGATAGAGGCCGGCGAATATGATGTTCGATGTGGAGAGCGGCATGGTCACCCACGAGTAGACACTGATGCCCAGCAGGAGCTTGTGCTTGAACGGTATCATCTTCGAGTGCACCACCAGGAGGATGCCCTGGAGCCAGCGCTTGCGCTGCTGCAGCAGATCCAGCAGCGTGAACGGCGACTTCTCGTACATCTCGCCCTCGATGAAGTTGAACGTGTAGCCCTGGCTGAAGGCCCGCATCGCAAAGAAGCAATCCTCGGCCACGGATCCGTCGATGCCATTGTCGAACGAAACGGAACGCTCAGCGCCAACCTAAACGAGGGGAATACAAATTGTTAATTGCTCAACGATTATTGGGGCTATACGATTGTCGATCAATGAAAATACCAAAGAGAGAACAGTCCAATGCATGGTAATAGTGATTCTATTGCTAATGAAAATTCGAATGATATATTGTAATGCTAAGCAATGCTATTAGTATTCCCATGAGAAAATACAAATATACATACTAATGCTCTTGCTAATGACAATGCTAATGCTAATAACAATAAATACTAATAACCTAGGACCAAAGCTGAATAATGATAATACAAATAGCTATACTAATACTCTTGTTAATGATCATTCTTATACTAATGCTAATGCTTATGGTACTACCTAATGCTTATAGCAATACCTAATATATAATGATCATATATAATGATCATTCTTATACTAATGTTAATGCTTATGGCACTACCTGATATATAATGATCATATATAATGATCATTCTTATACTTATGAATGCTAATGCTTATGGCACTACCTGATATATAATGATCATATATAATGATCACTCTTATACTAATGCTAATGCTTATAGCAATACCTAATATACTACCGCATTGAACGTACGCTCTCTTCATGTATTTCCCCCATCTGATCGAGGAGGTGCATTACTCACTTGGGTTACCACATAGCTGCCCTTCCAGCTGAAGAGGGGCTTGTGGAAGAGCTTGAACTGCAGACGCAGCTTGCCCATGTCATCGGATACACGAAAGCTGTCCGCCAAGGTGGTCAGCCAATTGACGACATTCTCGTTGGCATAGGTGATGAGGCCCTGGCCGAACGGATGCTTGCCATCGAGGACGAAATTGATGATGCCCCGCACCGAGTTCTCGGTGAGCAGTGTCTCCTCATCCAGATGGACGATCCAATCGTTGTCGCTCAGCACATTCACCGTGTCCTCGAGGCAGTACTGCAGGGCGCGCGACTTGAAGAGGGCGCCAGTTCGTGTCTTGTACTCCTTGGGCACGACTATTTCGCGAATGCGCCGATGCTGCGCCAGATGCACCGCCTTGTCCGTGACGACCTCAATCAGGAAGTTCTCCAGGCCGGTGTCGAGGCACGTATTGATGTTACGCAGCACATTCATCTTGACTAGTTCCGGGAAATCGCCGCGTGTGACCACGCGAATGCAGATGAACGGCGCCAACAGGGGGCTGCCCTTGAGTACGACCTTCTCGGGGAAGGCGTTGTAAAAGACAAGGCCGCAGAAATTGAACAGCACCTGGGGCAATGTGAGCAGGGTGAGGAAACGCAGTAAGTACAGCAATACGGTGGCCAGCTGGCCATACTCAGTCCATGGATCGACAATGGTGAACGAGTTCTCATCGATCTTAATACCGCCGGAGAATACTTCGCAGGTAATTATCACAGTGAAGAGCAGCGTGCAGTGCAGCAGATGTTTCGTTGTCGAGTTCATCATATTGAGTGTGCACTGTTCCTGTCCAGTGTCTTCTTGACTGCTTTGCTTTTCTTTAGATAAAAGTGTGTGTGTGTGTGTGTCTGTGTGTGTGTTCGTCTCTGTCTGATGGATTTTCTCTTTTGTTTCTCCTAATGCTTTACTTTATTTGTAATTTTGCTTATGCTTCCTCTTCGATTCTTTGTTTATTTGGATAGCGAGCCCAGTGGGGAAATTGGGAGGATGCGGTTATACGTTATGTTGTATTTTCGTTTTTGTTTTTTGTTGTTGTTGTTATTTATTTTGGTTTGGTTTGGTTTGTGCAGAGTTTTGTAGCTCTTAGCTGGTATATACTGTATCTATGCTCTAGTTTAATATTTTCCTCGTGTTTTTTCTTTCGTTTTTCCTTTATTGTTGTTGTTTATTGCAATTGTTAATTGTTGCTAGTTGTTGTTGTTGTTCTGCTTCTTCAAGCTGTTGTTGTCGTTCAACTGTTGCCCTTGGCTGCTGCCGTTGATAATTCGCTTGGATTCGTTGCCGTCTCGCACTCGGATGAGGCACTCATTTCTATAATAGAAGCAAATTCATACATAATAATCAATCAAAGTTCGATTCCATACTAGAATGTCGCAAATCGTGCAACATCAGTAAGATAATGCGGCAATTCGATTAGTTAATATACCAGGAAAATGCCAACCAGCCAAGATAAGTGCCTTCGCCCTCGCTCGCCTCGCCCCCGCTCTCTTTGTCCTACACTATCTATGTATGCATGGATTTTAAAATAAATATTTCACAATTACTTTTTACTAATTTCAATTAACTTTGATCCAAATATGAAATTCTATTGAAAAGTAAATCTAAATCTAGCCAAGTCAATCCAAAATTCGATATTTGATATACATATATGATATATCGCTTATATCTATCGTACATAGCACATGCACATCTCTATATCTATGTACATATTACATTTAACCTTCTCAAGCGTTTCTTTTGTTTTCCGTTAGACTGAAAAGTCGTCAAAATTATTTTTTACTTATGATGGAATTTACGACTGTGAAGTGTGAAACGCCCGAAGAGGTAGACGCAGACGCAGACGCAGACACGCACACCGCACACGCACACGCGCACACATATGCCCGCACGCAAGCACGCACACTTAACCTCACCCTCAGCCTCACCCACACACCCTCACACCCTCACACCCTCACACACACACACACACACACACACACATGCGATTCACATGTGGCTTATCAAGGGGTATCGCATGCGTAGCAACCCATAGCCAAAGTACTTAAGCAACTCTAACCAAGCAGCAACGGTTTCCCAATACCCTACACACACAGCGTATGGCGTATGGGGGCATGTATGTGCGCCATATGCAGGCTCTACAAGCCAAGCAACAACAACAACAACATAAACTGCTCTACGGAGTTAAGCAAAGACCCAGCTGATTTCTATGCAGAGTGTTTTCCATATACATGCATGAAATACAGTAGAGTCCGGTTATGACGACTCCGGTTATAGCGTCCGTACGATTATGGCGACGAAAATTCTCGTCGCCAGACAAACTGAAATGAGCAGCATACGGTTAAAGGGTCTCCGGGTTATACCAACGATCCGTTGAGCGTCGCTATAACCGGAATCTAATATTTAATGTGATATATATGTACATATATACACATACATACATGTATACATTGTAAATAGTTTATACATATATCAGATTCGGAATAGTTTAAGAGTTTATCATCTTCCATTTTCATTTCATTCCATTCGAGCAAAGGATTTTAACGATATTATATATATTTATATTATATATTTCAAGATATTCCAAAGTAAAAAGCAGAAAATATAATATTTTTATTATTATTAATAGTATTATATATGTATATATGTATATGTATATCATACAACTTGCATCATCTAGATCTTTATAGTAATACCTATGCACTTCAATTTGAGCTATAGTAAAAGATCTTGGGCATATTGTATAAAAGTTAGTCAACTTGAATTGTAAGACCATTCACATTAAAGATAATGATAAAAGTATTCTGCTCTCCCTTGCCCTCGCCCTCTCTCTCTCTCTCTCTCTCTCTCTCGCCCTCTCCTTCTCTCTCTCTCTCTCTCGCCCTCTCCTTCTCTCTCTCTCTCTCTCTCTCTCTCTCTCTCTCTCGTTCAATTACTTTTTTTTTGTTATATAGTTTTATTGCTGTTGTTTTTTTTTGTTCTTACTGTTTGCACCGAGATTGGGGCAGTAAAGAGTGCCTCCACACACACACCCAGATAGATAGACACACACACACACATACATACATACATATATGTATAAAATGATATATATACATTGGATATATGGAGTCCAATTTACATGAGGGCAAATAGTTTCGCCTTCAACAATTAAGAAGTTCAAATGCCATCGATTTGATTATAATTGCTGTCATTGCTGTTGTCATCGTTATTGTTATTGTTATTGTCATTGTTGTTGTTGTCATTATCATTATTATTATTATTACAAGTGCTATTATTAGTAGTCAAAAGTTGTGCAGGGTTAACCAAAGTGCAAGTCCAGTTCATCCAATTAATGAGCAATAAAAGCAAGTGAGAGCACTTCAATTGGGCATGCTCGACTAGCGGATACCTTACACTTGACACTTCACACTTCAGCAGAATCTATTTAACAAACCCGAGAGCCCAATGCTATTGATAATATCTATAAACGTATTTATATGGATCGCTTTGCCGCTCCTGCTTTATAGAGCTCAAGCAAATTATTGTAGCCCCATCCATATATGTATGTGTGTATCATCATCACTTCCTATCATATCTACAGGTGCTACGAAAATTCCCCAAGAGTGACAAACGCCTTGCGTGGGTGGGAATTTTCCAATTCCTTTGATTTATTTATTTTTCCCTTCTTTATTTTTTTTTTGTTATAAATTTTAATTTGGTCGAGTCTATTTGAATTGAGTCGATAGAATCGATAGAGCGGCCTTATGGGTATTATTAGATGATAGCAGCCGGCCGTAGCTCTGTGACTCAAAAGCTATCCCAAACAAACAGTTAGTATACCAAATAAATGGGGCATGACTAATTAACTGGGAGCTTTTGGCGAAATTTATCAATGTCTTTCCTAATGGGGCATTACACGATATTTATATTTATTATTATTAATATTATATCAATATTGGCAACTCAATCGACGTCTATGACTAAGGGGGGAAAACCTGAACAGCTGCAATAGGCACAGATAATTATTTATTTTATTATATATTATTGATAAGTAAATATTGATTGCCCTTATAATTGAAGAACTGATTAAAGCCAAAATATAGTCGGAGCTGCGTAATACTCGCCTTCCTCAATCAACTCAATCATCTCTAACTCTCATTCCTAGAGCCAATATACTCGCATCGAAATCTGAATCAATTAAAATTTTGAGACAGTCCAAATTTCCTAGAATTGAATCACTTTGAAGCAATTGAAAATATTCCCAAATTTAGATCCATCAAGCATACCTAGATGTACATATATAAATAGCCAGCATTGTCTACAGTTCATTTTTATCGTATCGATAAAGTCGCAAATTAAATATAGTTTGCGATTTGTTGTTTTTTTTTTTTGCTTTGATTTTAGGACCCCCTCGAGTGAATTTGCTCAATCAATTATTATATTATGGTTAGCCCAATGCTCAGTGCCTGTTGCCTAATGTCTGATTCGCCCAACGACGTCGACGACGGTCACTAGGAATTTGCTGGGCGTTACGATAACCATTACGAGCCCGACAAAACTCAGCAGAGAGAGAGAGAGTGAGAGAGAGTGAGAGAGAGAGGGAGCTGGCAGACTGATAAGCAGCAAAAAGTATACATCTTATATTTATATAGTATATCGTATAAAAGCAAATATATGATAATCTATATATACATATATGTATATACGTATATGTGTTTAACTTATATATATTTATAATTTGATGATTAATTGTCGCAGTCGCTGCGAGTGACGCTGGTCTTAACGGGCCTGACGCTCTTTTCACTAGTTAATTTCGCTTCAAACCTTAGCTCTTCCCACTTATCACAAATGGGCGTGATTTTAGCCATATGAGTGAAATATTTCATGTACAAGTAAGTAAGTTTTAAGTATTTTAACTACAAATTGTTCGTTTTGAGGACATCAGAGATAAATAGATATCAAATATACATTTTCTTTGAGTTGTATATAGAATATGTCGTATATGTATATAGAGATCATATCTATATATAGCAAATGTATATATGTATGGGCTCTGTTTGTCTATAGTCCATCTCCTTACATCTCCATATATGTATATCATATTTCTATCAATATGTCTATCTATATATCTACATATATCTATACATCTATCTATATACTATACTCATTCTCTCTCTGTCTGTCTATAACTTCCATGAATTCATATTTTTCTCAAAGCCGCTGCAAATCAAAATTTTTACCAGAGCTAAGACAGAGTTTCACCTAAGTTTCACTTTTTGGCATGAATTTGATTCAAATAATTGTTGTATATATATATTTTTTTATTGATATTTTAATTTATAAGTTAGCTTCATTTATCTTTGGGTTCGAGCTCGTTCACTCTTGTGACTGAGTTTAACCACATACTTCTCACTGATAGATTCGAAATGCTAGCCCAATGAATCACTTAAGTTACATTCCATTGCATTAAGAGGGAAAACTAACCTTTGTAAGCGCTCCCTCTCACTCTCTCACTCTCCCTTATAGTGGACAATTAATCATTCAACAATTATGATAGTATATATGCTTTGTATGCTTAGTATATATACGCATAAGTATATCATTTAATGGAATCAAAATCGATTAAATATTGAGGCTGACTACCTCGTTTGTCGCTCGAGTCAAAGTTTATCAGCTCCTCGGTTCTCGGTTCTCAGTTCTCGGATGTGACTGGGTGAATCATCACTCGGTGCTGCCTGATCGACTCAGTGTCTCAGTTCCTGTCCGATAAGTGATATACGCATACCCCTTCGAAAACAGCGCCTGCCCGGTCGACTCTCTGATTGTTTCTGCTCGTTCTCGGGGGCGTAATGAACTTGAATCACACGAAGGCGATAAGCGCAATACAGATGGAAACCCATTCAAAGTGCAAACGAGAAATAATGCCAACAGACGTTAATAACAATGCCAACGAAACCAGTCCGACCAGGCAATGTCTGACTGGCAGATGCCCAGCTATCTGGCTCTAAAAGTGAGTTACATACTCTCCCTGTATTGGGTGAGGGGGGGCTGTCGATATATAGAACAAATTTGATGGATCTAGCTAATGAAACTTACCGCATTTGCTGAAAATAACTAAAGCTCACTTCTATTTTTATTGGCCGAACAAGCGACCCACTTGATCGTGATTAAGCAATGATATATATATATATATATATGTATATATATATATAGTACATACAGGGTATATCGGTCAGCAACAAGTGCTCAACTAAATACCTCACAATGACTCCTCATTTACTGATGACGCGCGTGCTCTAAGCCACTTGAGAATCCTGAACGAAATTCAGATTAATTTGCGACCTTGGACGCGTCTTATCGCGTCTTATGGCCGAGTATATCAAACGAAAAGAAAACAGTTATAAAACGTCTTTATGACTTTTGGGTTATTATTATGTATTTCGTGCTCTTGGCCAAATCATTCAAAAATTCTCAATTGTCGGGAACAATCGCACTCGATCCACTGTTGTGTAACATCCTAGAGAGGAGAGCTCTTGATTATTTCTTGTAAATGGAATAAGTTTGCCTTATCAGACACAAATATAGCCAAGTTTCTGCAAGACCTTACGGAATTAGATAGTCTGTAGGCATTATTATCTTAGACAACTTTTGCGGAAAAGATTATTTTATCAAAATTTGTTGACAATATCTGCTATGCTTGATTCGTCAAATTGTTATCAAGTCTTAAAATATAGCGCTTTTATAGGGTATTTAATATAGACATGCACGAATTTCACTATCGATAGAAGCTCAACTGAAACCTAAAAAAAAAGCTGGCTAAGCAGCAGGATTTATTTTTATGGGTTCCTTGCTAGAAAGTAAATCCAATTGTAATACATTTAATTATGCATATGTATGTATCTATATTCACAGTTCCCTAAGACTATCCTTGATTTATTTGAACTATTTAAGATCTGTTCTGAATAAAGAAAACCAAAGCTAGCGAGTGTTAGCTCTAGTAGAGGTCTACTGTAGTAAGGTATTCCTCAGTAATATACATATTTTAACTCTACAAGTTTTCGTGGAACAAATGTTAAGGGAATTTCTTTTAATATTCTGCTCGATCGCAGCTACCCTGCAGTGGGAATGCAGGGTATGGGCACGTGACGCTTGACTGAACACCGGTAGTGCATCAACTTGTTGTTTTTTAAGCTCTTTATTGTGACTGCTGTCCATTGTTATTGTTGTTAAATGAAAATCATTTTCGCACGAAACACACAACAAACAAAAGTACTTCGGTGCGAACCGATTGACTGGGCGATACCCTGAACAAGGCAGCCTATCGCTGATTTCAGTTAGTACAAAGCAAATATACCCACTTGGCTCGATACAGATTTACAAGGGTATTCCGAAATGCAACAAACCCAGGGTGCATTGTCTAAGAACTAAGAACAATATGTTGCTGCAAAGCCTAGCGCACAAAAGGATTCCAGTTTGTATATATGGCAGATATACTACAAACATATCTATATAGCTGGATATTACATAAGCACAATTATAGCTGGGGGAATTTCCGGCGACAGCGGCAACAACAACAGAAACTGAATACCTGTAATTAACAGGGCAGGCAATTAAACGACCCATAAGCCCAACGATCGTAAAACTAATATGAGTATACTATATATTATGTATATATATGTATAATAGAATTAGGGGCGTGCACACCTAATACAAGAGTTCTATATTAAAGATTGTTTTTTAATACTTTTAATACAATATAATATCTAGCTTTTGTTTTTTTCTGTTAATATGTATTAGTTTTTAGATTGAATATAAGCTTCTCCGTATATCGAATAGAAATCACGACACGTACTCCACTCTAGCTTAAAACACAAAGTTCGCTAACGAAATGATGCAGGCAGGGGGCAGGGGGGTGCAAAAACAAGTACAATTCGAGTCCATTTACAGTGCATATGCTCGTACCTAAATAATGGCTCTGTACTTGACGAACGATATTGATGACCCCGTCAGGTGTCAGGTGCGAGATTCTTTCTTTCTGTTTTTTTTTTTTTTTTTCACGTACAGACGTTACAAAGTTTGAAGTTTCGTTTACCCACCCGTTGCCGTTGTTGTTGTTGTTTAACAAGACATTGCGTGTTGTTGTTGTTGTTGTTGTTGTTTCGTTAAATTTTCGCGCGTTTCGCTCAGATTTGCAAGTTCGTTCGTAATTTTTATTATTATTATTATATATATATATTTTCTTTTTTTGTAGGAGCTTCGAAGCTTGAACTTCGAAGGCAGCCGTTACACTGAGGCGGCGGCGAAGAGAGACTCCCACAAAATGGCGAGTGGCTACTACCAACCATGAGAGCGTGAGCGAGAGGGCGAGAGAGAGAGACCGGAGAGCGTAAGCGACAAAGAGATGGAGCTAGCCCGCGTTTAGCCGACTGTGTGAGCATGTGTGTGTGTGTGTGTGTGCGTGCGTGTGTGAGGCAGGCTGCGGGCTTATTGTGCATATGTGTACACAGTGGCGGCGCATATATTGGTGGGCCGAAGTCATAATAATAAATTAAATACGTTATCAAAGTACAACAGCGGTCGCTACGTTGATTATGAAGTTATATGTATGTATGTATGTTGGCCCGTTTTGATTCAATTGTGCATTAAATGCCGGCGCACACAAACACACACACACACACACACACACACACACACACACACACACACACACACACACATACACCTACATAGCTACAGTAAAGAGCCGGGAAAGGGCAAAGGAATCAGCAAAAAAAAAACTAATATTGATAGCAATTTATTTTGATGAAAGAATAATTTGGGAATTCATTGGAAAATATATTAACAGAAGTATATAACATATATTGCACATACATATTTATATGAAATGTTAAATGCTTCTTTCCTCAACTGTTCGTTAATGGAGCTTCCACTGTATCTTTGCACATGTGTATTTATTTTTGAGATAAATACATATGCACACATACACACATATTTATGTATGTACTTATGACTAATAACCAACAACAACTGAAACTGAAACAGTAGCAGATTAGCAATGAAATAAAAGAAATAGAGAATTAGCTGCGTTATTGGACATTCCTTTCTGGGTGGCTAACAGGTGTCCACTAGTGGGCCATTCCGCATTACTGTTATTGTTGTTGCTGAATTTGTCACGCGCCGCGCGTACGTACAGTGAGCAGCAGCTGCCCCTACCGGCCTCCCGCCTCCCTGTCTCCTGCCTACCGTTATCGCAGTAGGTTGTGCAAACACACACACACACACACACACACGGCTCATTGCGTTCACGCGCGTGTGTGTGTGTGTGCATGTGCATAGGTAGATAAGCGTCAGTGCGTACACAATCAAGGTACGCTAATTATAACTACAAACATAGCCTAAGTAACATTTGTAATGGAAGCAGCAACAACAACAAAAACAATAACAAGAAGAAGAACAACAACAACAAATACACGTACACTCGTCAAACACTGTGAGTCCGCATGTCCCTGTCACAATAATCGATAACAAAAACAAAATATTTGTAGCGTATGAATGCCCCTGAGGCCTTTAATTACTGGTCAATCAGAGCTCATCAGTGCTGCGAATTGTGTTTTTGTTTTTTATCGCTGAATTGTCTTTTTTAGTTTGCTTTTTGTTTAAGTTTAAGCCCATGGGAAACACACCAGTCAACATATAAATAGGTTAATTATTAACAAATATATTTCAAGCAAACAAATGTTCTCAGTAAAGCATTTTTAGCTTTTAAAGTGTAGCTTTTATAGCTGCTTCTCAACACTGATGGCAACGCATATGAAATGAGAAAAAAAAAAAAACACATTCCGCTAGTCTAACTTGCATTGTGGAATCCAATTGGGTTTTCTGTTAATTTTAAATAAGGTCACACTGACATTTGCCATGCTCAAATAGGAGTTGATTTGCAAGCGGAGACAGACCTAAGCATAAAACCACCCCGAAAAACTCGCTCAGTTCACACCTTAATGTACGCTTGTATGTGCATGTCGATATATTAATATGTATTTTGTTCATTTTATATAGTCACACTAATATGCAATTAATACAAAATCCCATCACTAGGGCACCCACGTTAACCCAAACACACACACACACACACACTAAGACTCTTGTACATGTATTATGGGCTGGCGACCTTGTATTAGGCGTATGATGGGCATAGACAAACGGCAAAATGTGCTAATACAGGTGCAGGTCCGTTAGAAAGCTCTCTCACACACTCGAATTGTGAATATCACTCTCTCATTCTTACTTACCATACTGTTGGTCACGAAAAACACAAATGGCTGCTTCCCAATGGAACAAGGAAGAGGAACTGGCAGGCAATGGCGCGTTGTTGTTGTTAGTTTTTTTTTTTTTTTTGTCGTTGTCGTTTTGTCGTTGCAGGAGCGGTCTTCGGTCAATAGGCGTTGCTGTGTGGTCGATAGATAAGACGCCCGGGTGACAGCCAGTCACGCACGCAATGTGGGTAAGGGCAGGACTCTCCTTGCTGGAGTGCGCACAGGGTGTGTCGTGTTTGTCTACACGCGCCTCGCGTAAACAAACGAAACGGCTACACGAATATCGATGACGCCCAAAGAGCAAAGCCGTCTTTCGTTACGATGCGCGGGCGTGCGGAGTATCTGAGCACAAGGGGACTCTGGGCGGATGCTTGCTTGTTCGCTTGCTAACTATATCTCTTTCTCTCTCTTTGCTGATGCTCTCTTGTTGCTAGCTGTGGCAAATGTCGGCGCCGATTTGTTTGGTTTATTTTTATACATACAATTCGAATGTTTCCTTGGCGTGCAGCAGCATCAACAAATCTCATTAATATTTGCGATTTTTATTGAATTCAATGAGCACACATCTTAATATTCACAAGAGCATATATATAAATATATACTATATCTCTTTTTTATTTTAAATATGCCTTGGTAATTTCTTCAGCTGCTCTCTTTGCGTCTTACACCCGGCGACAAGCGTGTGATTTTTGCAGCCTCCTCTCCTCTCTTCCTCTAGGCTGTTCAATCTTTACCCAAACCGAAGCGAATGATTACAACAAAAACACAAATACTTGGTTCGGAAAGAAAGCTAATGCAATCTGGCCAAAATTAGTTAAAACGGATATCGATCGATATTTGGCAGGAAAAGCAAACGAATGAGTTCTTTTTGTATTGGTAGATTTTTTTTTCTTTATAGAAGCGCGATGGTAGTGGCGGCACGAATATTGCAAATTGATTTTTTTTTTATTTTGTGCGAGTGTTTTCCGAAACTGTAGCTTAGTGGATGGATACTACTAGTGTTTAATTGCTTGGCGCGCACATTTTGCCGTTTAAGCACGAAAAAAACAATGACTGTTTTCCTTTTCTGAGTAATAGCTAATAAATATAAACACTAGTGCCATAAAAAAAATTAATCGATGAGTTATGCGCATCACTAGAATTGCGACAACTAACTTAACATGCGCTGTTAACACATATCGCTTTACACAGCAATCGATATTTGAAATATATCGAGCAAGGACCAACTTAATAATTGAAAACCCTTCATTTTGTATTAATACTAGCGTATATTCAAATAAAAACAATTTATAAAATGTTTATTAATTTTTAAAATACTTTTGTCATTCTGGAAGCCATATCAACATGATTACGCGGTCTAACCATATATCGATAAGTGTATAATTCAGTATTTTATATTTTGTGTTTTATTTGGTAATTTACTTTTACGGCTTATTGCATAGAAAAGAAATACAGAATTAAGTTGCTTACATGTGTTCAGTTTGTTTTTAGGATATGAAATTAAAAAATAGTAATATAGTATATTTAGTGTATTTTCGCAAATACCAAATACGTATTTCCATATGTACTTCCATCGATATCGATAAATGTTACTTTATTAGCGTGCGACGTGCGCTGCGGACGTATGTTACGTGTGTTTTCGGCTTGTTAACTTTTTTTTATTGTTTTCTTCCTCTCTTTTTTTGTTGTTATTGTGCGTGTACGTGACTGCAGCTAAGCGCAGCCGTAACAAGTATCAAAAATAACGAAATTGCAATAAGTTGCCAAGAAACAAGCCAACAGCAATTTTATATACAGCGTTCTGAGGCAATGGCTTTGCAGAAAACTTAAACAAACAAAAGAACTAGACCAAAGGTAAAGAAGCAAAGAAGAAAAAACGTGTGTTGGGTCACAGCCGCAACCTAAGCGCGGAGCCATAGGCAGAGCCAGAGCTCAATCGTGTGCTCGCTGCTCCAAGAGGCTGAAGTAGAAGAAGTGGAAGAAGCAGCAGCAGCAGTAGGCGAACAATTGTTCAATTGCCATTGCGACTCGGCGCTCTCTGTCATTTTCTCTCACTCTTTCTCTCCTTCCTCATCGCCGCTGCTGCTGACCGACCGCCTGACCGTCAGCGTCGTCATTCGATTTGTCGTTGCCTTTGCCCGTCGTCTGCTCTCTAAACGCGCGCGTTCGTCGCTTTTCCTCTTCCGGCCTGGCCACTCTGAAGTTAACGGCAAACAGCAACAACCATAACAAGAGCAACAACAATAACAGAACTAGCGGCAAAAACAAATTGCGATACGCGTAATAGGAACAAAAATGGTAAGTTCACAGTTACTACAATGTGTTTATTTGTTTGTTTGTTTGTTGTGAATGGTCTTGATCATATCATATAGCCGCATTTGATGGCCACTGACAGCAAACGCATCATCAGCAACGATTGCAGCGCAGTCGCTGCTAGCAGCATCTACGGCGGCAGCAGCAGCTGAGCGTGTGTACGCTAGCCATCTCGCTCGCACTTGCTGAATGCGTGCACAACCACATGGTGTGGCTAAAAGAAAAGCAAAAACAAAAATGAATAAAAAAAAACGCAAATTTGCCCATGCAAAAACAAAAAAGTTTCAATGTGATAATGGCGAATTCGAGTATTGTAACGACAGAGCGTGTGAGCGAGAGAGCAACACAGTGAGCTGTGCTACACGCGACACAATTAATTTGCATTGTTTGTTTACATTTGTTGCCGTTTCTTCGTTCCATTTATTTGATCTGTTTATTTCCTTTACCCACAGCGTCGCGGCTTTAATTTCATTACACAATTTTTTATGGGTGAAAATCGTTAAGCGATTTTGTGTTAGGTTAGGGTTAAGGCCATGCGCCCGTTGCCATAGGAAACCGTCTAAGCTTGCTTTGATTAGCCTCAACCATTTTTCGTTCTCTGCTTCAACCGCTGCTCCACAATTTCGTTCAGAATTAGCTTTATTAGCTGTTTGCTATTTACTGTTTATTTATGCGGCCTTTAAGGTGTACCATATACAAAGCTAGATCTATAGTGAACAAAGCTTATAAATAATAAATATTGTTATTAAAGAAACATATTCATTTCCTCAAAATTAGCTTTAAATTCACTAATTTGCTAACTCAACGAATTTGATTACAAATATGATTTTTTAGAAAACAAGTATACGGATATACATATGTATGTAAATATAATAATATATTTTCAATAGTTATAGTCTTTTGTATATGGATGTAGTTTCCAAAATGGTATTCTCTATATGTATTTCAGCAATTTTAAATTGTTATTCTAAAATACTGCTTTTTTTTTTTTTTTAAGTAAACAATTCTTACATCATATAATATAAATAATATATAATACTTCGTCGCGGCAGTAATTTCTAAAAACTCCCAAAAACGGAAGAAAACTGTTTGAATAAATTTGGAACATATTTATATATAATATTTAATTTATATATAAATTATTTAAGTTTAAAGTAAAGATCTAGGAAAACTAGCGAAAGTAGAAAATCTTTCATAACATAAAAAAAGAGAAAATGAATTTATCTTTCTTAATATATGTACTTCTTTGTACATGTGTACAATTGTATATATGTATGTATGTACATATCTATATTAATATTACATTTAAAAATAGTATTTTACAAATTGTAGGGAGTTGTTTTTATTTGTTAGGTTTATCTATAAGTTCAAAGCTGATCTATTAAAGCTAACTGCTTGTCAGTATTTTGTATATTCGTTGACTGTCTGTGCCGTCTACATGAATGTTCACTGTATGTGCAGCAACAATTTGGCCAGGTCAGCGCAGTAAATGGGTAGGAAAGGTATTCGTTAGTAGGAATTGCTGCCAGCAGCAGCAGCAGCAGCAGCAACATCAATCAGCAGGAGCGGCAGGAGCAGCAGTCGATGCCACTCCCAACACATTTCCCCTACTTAGAGGCAGCCTATTTATCAGAGATTCGTCCTTTGCTGTCATTCGCTGCAATTCGCTTTGCCCAGCGACGCATGCGTCAACGCAAAGGGGTAAATGCCGCCCACACTTGTGCACCTGCCTGGAATCATATAATATACACACATATATACCTTGATATATAAGGAGCGAGGCAGATAGACATATGCAATATATGTATGTGGCTCAAACTGTTGATCGGCAATGCAACCAAGCACAGTCCCAATTGCAGATAGACGATTGCTAAAAGTCCATTAAGGCCGAAATGCACTGTAATGTGATGGCATATTCACTTGCAGCTGCGAGAAATACGTGGAACTCTATATGCTGACTCTGACTGTTAGCAACAGCTAGGGAAATTAATAAAAATGTAAATGTATATATAAAATAATAATATTAATAAGTATTGTATTTTTCTTTAATTTTTGCTGGCTTTAGTGGAATAAATAAATATATACATGTGGCATCCTCGTTACCTAATCTCAACTAGATGGCATCACCAATGAAAACGAAAAGAAGAGAAGAAAATTGTTAGAGACCTAATAAAAGTTACTTAAAGTTGCTCAAATTGAAATCAATATTCACAATATTCTGTTAATGCTCCATAATTGTTACATATATAACCATTTCATTAGATATTGAAGTAACTCTCTTATAATTTGCCCTTTCGCACTCCATTTCGTGCAGCCTGTTGACGTCTGTTGTAGCGTGTGCACACTGTATGTTTTTTGCTCTTTATTTCCTTGCCGTTTCTCTTTTTTGTTTTTATTTTTATTTTCGTTTTTCGCAACCCTTAAGCTGCACACACTCTCTCTCTCTCTCTCTCTCCCTCTCTTTCAATATGTGTATACTCATATACATATTTATATTATTTTTTTTCCTTTGTTGTTTTCACCATTTTTGGCAAATTCAACAACATGTTGATGTATTTCCTTTTCACACACACACACACACACGCACAGCTATTTGGGCTTTTGTATTCTTTTTCGCAAGGTCATTCGTTGTGATTTTATTTTGTGTGTCACAGGAGGCGCAAGTAGCAACAAAAAAATAAAAGGAAAAAAATAGAAATAAATAAACGCAATAAAAATGTGTTGCTTGCCCCAATATTTGTGGCATGGTTGGTTGAGCGTGCAATAGGATTAAGTGAAATTATTCCCTTGATACCTAGCGAGAAGCAGTTATAATTTAATTTCAGAATAATATATTGCTAAAACAATATGCAAATTGAATACATGAGTAAAATATTGAGCACATTTTTTATTTATTAAAAAAAGAAACAAAAACGATTTATTGCAACTATTTATTGCTAGTTAATATTTCGCTCTAGCTGCGTCTCAGCTTCTCTGCCCTCTCTCTCTCTCTCTCTCTCATTACATTCATTGCAACGAACTTTAGCTTCGCTTTTTATAGGTTTATTGGGCAGACTTGAGCAGTTGAAGCGATATAGCGATCTTTATCCTATTTATTCATATGTATTAGCACATATATATAGTAGATATATACATATACATACATATGTATGTGTATTTTCCCGTCTTCTTTCAACTAACGTTTTTTTTTTTAAACAATTTACTCCATCTATTTATATTAACAAACATATATTTACATAACAAAGAAAAAAAAAATAAAGGGAAATGCATTTCCCTTTATAAAATTACACAAAATTAACATGAAAACAATATATAGTTATAGTTATATATATATACATATATGCATATATAGAAGGCCATTTCTTATGAACTAGAACAATGGCAATTAGGGAAAGGCCTGTTGAAAGACCGGCTTTCTTTTAGTCCTCCTGCGGCGCATTCTCATCCATGTTGCAGAACACATTGCGCATGTTCTTTAAATCCGGCGGCGCAGTGTCCGGATTGAGTATCCACATAGTGTACGCCTCTTTGTCGGTTTGTGTTAGCGGCTTAAAGTTGCGCGGATTCTGTGCCTCCTCGCCCTGCAGCTTCGAATTGTAGCGCGCATACGCATAGACGCGATAACGCCAATTATCAAAGGACTGCCTCCACTCAGGCACAGTTTTGACCGCGCCCTGGGGCGCGGCGTTCAATACTTTTGCCAACTGATGCCAGTACTTGTCGAGAATGGGATAGTTGCGTGGATATTCGTTGATGATTTTATTCTGTTGCAGAAAGTGCACGTAGAGGTCCTTCTGGTACTTTGTCATGCGTTGCTTGCGTTGTCGAGTCTTATTTGGGTCCGTTTGGTTTGAAGCCATGTTGACGCCTAGTTGTTGTTGTTGTTGCTGCTGCTGCTGCTGCTGCTGATTCTGCGGAACAGAGGCGGGCATGCCCAGCTGCGCAGATGCAGCACCACCACTAGCCTTGCTCTGGCACAGTTTTGTGGGCTCCTCTGGTGTGGGCAATACGTTGAGTAGCTTTTGAGCACTGCTGCGGCATTGGGAATGAAGCACATTGTTGTCCAAGTCGCCATCGTTCACTTGCCTTATTTCGATAACAAAATTTGTTAGATCATGCCGTTGAGCCAAATAGTGTAATAGCAGCTCATCCGGAATGTCAAAGTCGATCTTCTTATTACGAAACTCAAAGTCATAAATGCCGAATGCAGCGCGCACAACATTCTTCATCTCCCATAAGCTTAAATTTCGCTTCTCCTCTGGCACGCCAAACATGAGCAATTTTTTAATATCACCAAATTGGAAAGGTATTATAACTCCAGAACGCAGCGCCATTTTCTATGCGATAATAAATATTCCACGTTTCGGTTTTAAATTTAAAAAAAATTTTTTTTTTGCGCGTTACTGCTTAACGTATTGATTTTGTTGTTTATTTATGTTAAGGTTACATGAAGCAAACAAAAAATGTAAGACATAGAATTCTCGGATAGAGTGTTTTTCCTAATCAAATATGTCTGTACGTATTTTGTTGAAGTTGTACGACTTTTTGGCTATAACGACGATTTTACATTGGTATACCCGGTAGTCGCGCTAACCAGAAGGAGCCAAAAAAATATATTTTATATTTATTTTTGTCCTCCCTCTCCTTCTCTCCCTCACTCTCTCACTCTCTGTCTCCCTCTCTCTCTCTCTCTCTCTCTGTCTCTCTCTCTCTCTCTCTCTCTCCCTCTCTCTCTCCCTCTCTCTCTCTCTCTCAGAAACATATGAAAATACAAATTGTAGCCAAACCTGGCTCTATTTCGCCTTTCTTGTACTCTAATTGAACGATCTATTATCTATACTGGAACTACCTCTTATATGTATGTAGCTCTAACTCTTATAAGATAGCAGAGATTTGACTTATGCTGATATCTGGAATACTTTGCTGCATCTTTATGGTTTATAAATCTGTTCTAAGCGCGATCCGTCTGGAAAGTTATTCGAATTGCAAACGGATTGTTATTCATAAGTCAACAAAGTACGCCCCCTTATGACACGTTGCTCACACCGAGACCTTACTGTAGTTTACACTTAGTGTGGTGCGTGGTGAGTTATCGGGTGGGTGCAGTGTCTGTGCCTGTACCTCTGCCTGGTTCTGTTTCCGTTTCAGCGATTTGCCTAGCTACCGAGTCATTGATTTATCTCTATGTATAGGAGCAGAGACAGCAGCAGAGTTAAACGGAGGGGGCAGAGGTCATGGCGGAGGTTCACAGTCAAGCTGGTTCGGCGCTTGGCTTCAGCTAGTCGTAAACCACTCGGCGGTGCTGTTTGCTGCTATCTTGCTCTAATTGCCCGCTCTGCATGCGTTGTGTCCTGTGTATCCATTGCCTCCGTTCCACTCATTGTCGCCGCTGTTGCTGCTGCTGCTGCTGCCGTTGCTGCCTCCTCGGGCTCCGTTTCGATCTGGGCCTGCGCCCCTCCATTCCAATGAGTAGGCCGCCTTTAGTTAACCAGGCAATCCTTTTGTTTCAGCCACTAACAATGGAGGCGGTGCAGAGAGGGGCGTGCGCCCATAGGGTGTTTGTCCTCCTGTTGGGGGTTGGCACGGCCACATTGCACATGCCACGTAGTTTTCAGTTCAGCTCGTTGCTCATAGTTCGTAGTGTTCGGTATCTCTGCATGCCAAACATTCTCCACTGCCTCGTTGCCTCTGTGTGTGTATGTGTGTGTGTGTGTGTGTGTGTGTGTGTAAGGGTTGGGGTAATATTTCACATTCAACCCTTTCTCGAGTTATGCGGCACACTGGGCGCTGATAAGTTAATTAATTTATAAATGAGAGCACATATATGCAAATACATATATCGATAATTAATCGATACAACAAGCATTACAGCTCTGCATAGTGTATAGCTATATATTTTATATGCGCTTTGACTTTGTTTCAAATATAATTAAAAAATGCATATAGATTAATAATTAAGGATTTATCGATAAATGGAAATGTTGAATCGAGCTTAGAATAAAACAACCAATATTAATTATTTACATATTTCACTGTATCGATAATATGTTCATTATACTCATTCATTATCATATCTATTGTTCACTTGCGACGTATCGATAATATTTTTAGCGAAGTAACTCTCAAATGTGATAAATATTTTTACTTAATTGCTATGCATTATGTCGTAAAAGTATCGATATAAGCAATCTATATATTTACATATATTTGTTTATCGATACAAAATTGTTTTTATAAATAATAAGTTATTTATTTATTTATTTATATATATAAATATATCGATTGAATAGATCTGCTGGACTTTTGAGACAACTATAATAGAATATTTGTCTTAGACATTTGGCTAGACAGTGTGTCAATCAATAGTTGATTGATCGATTAATCAACTTTCTAAGTAAAATGAATTCTGGCATTTTCAATATATTTTGCACCACTGTGCACAGTCTGTGTTCGTTTGGTGCGTTGTTATTCGAGTGGTGGTTTACCCTCCTCCTCCCATCCGTCCGTCCGTCCGTCCGTCCGCTCCTGACCGTTTCAAAGTTGGGCCAACCACCCGAGCGCCCCCAGCGCGCAATGTGAAATATTCAAAAGGGGTGTGTGCCAGAGCCTCTGCCATAACCAGAAGCGAAGTGGAGCGGGAGTGGAACGGCTGTTGATTGGGGTTAGAGCGCTTTAAATGGAGAGTGGAGAGTGGAGAGCGCTAGGTGGGCCCTGGGCCATGGGCCGCAAAACGCCGAAAAACTGCAAGCGTGTACTGCCTGATGGCCTGATGGAAATTTTGGTTGCCCGACTGGCCGGGGCAGAGAGAGACACACTGGAGCACGGCATGGCGTAGTTGCCTCCAACACGAGCGCAGGAACAGTCGCAAATTGCAGCCGTAGCCGTAGTCGTAGCCGTAGCCGTAGCCGTACCAGTGCAAATCAATTGTGGCAAGTGTTAAGTGGCGTCACCTGCAACTGACCTCAGCTGCAGCCAAGCAACTGGGCAGCTGTGCAACTGAAGCCAGCAGCTCTGCAGCCGCACACGTTGCCAGACTGTTCGAAACTCTGTCTCTGTTTTCGTTGGCATTTTTTTTTTTTCTTGGCGCTCCGTTTTTTTCTCGTGCTTTTGTGCCGTTTTTTCTAAACAACTGTGTGAAAGAGTGCTATCTCGCTCGCACTCGCATTCGCACTCTATCGCGCGTTAGCTGGCTCTCTCTTGCATTTGCCTCTCTGCGTGTGTGCGTGTGTGTATGTGTGTGAGTGTCTGGCAATCTGTGTCTGTGTGAGTGTGTGTGTGCACAAAAGTGTGCTACATTTTTTCTCTCTTTTTTTCTCTTTACGTTTTTTTTTTGTGGCGATTCTCCTTAAATTCGCGTGCGTTTCTTAAAGCCAGCTGTGTGAGCATTTTTTTCCCGTTTGTTTTGCTACGCTCGCCGTTACACTGCAAAAAAAAAAAAGAGAAAAAATGAATGCTGTATGGAATGGAAAATAAATTCTAAAACTAATGCTGGCTTGTTCAGATGGTCTTATTGATATATGTACATATATATGAAAACCCATAAAAAATATGTGAAATCTCCTATTTGAGTGATTCGAATAGTTCGTGTCTCTAGCTATATATATATATACATAATTTATATGTAATATATGTGGATACAGATGTATAGATAAATATTGTATATTTCTCTCTTTTCTCACTATTAATTTATTTAATTTAATTTAATTTTACATTTATATATCACAAAATTTCTTAATAATTGGGTTTTATTTTTATTTTACAGACGTCGAAAAAGCGAAAAAGTTTTTTGGATGCCGATGATAATGACGATTTCGATGACGATGATTCCGGCTCTGATTTCGATGACGATGAAGATCCAGATCAAATAGAAGTGCCCGGTAAGTGCCTGCAAAATTTCGATAATTTGTATTTCGATTTGCGTGCCTAAAGTTTCGGGTTCAGGACCTCTAGACACGCCGTCGCTGAGCCGGCCCTTGCCTCGACCCTCGCACAAACTTTACCCTTTGCTGTTGGTGGCCCAAAAGGGTCGACCTGGCAACAGAAATAGTTTTTGTGAAATGATTTTCGCCTGGGTTCGTATAGCATCTAACGAAAACCTGTGCTATATGTTATGTGTGGGGGGGGTAACAGGTAGAGACACAGTGGGCTTTGCATAGTCCCGAAATGCCAGCAGAGGGCTGTGTTGAGTGTGGGTGTGTCTGCACACATAAGCCCAATAATTTTTAAAGCTTTAGACAGATAAAATTGGTATGCGCACTTTCGTAGAGCTCTCAAATCGCATAAACAATTCACTAAAGAAAAATCTTTATAATGCTCAGGCAGCGCGTTTCTGTATATAAAGAAAAAGGGAAGAGGGAAAGAGAGAGAGAGAGCGAGAGCGAGAAAGCGAGGAAATCTATAAATCTAAAGCAGTATCAAGTTATACATTAAAAGAACATTTTAAAAAATAATATTTAACTATCTTTAGAATCAAAACGACAATCGATTGCTCGATTACCATGAACATTGCCCTTATACGTGGAAAAAGTTATTCGACATGGCTATCCGAGTATCTAGTAATATGCCTTATATTCGAATTGGATAAGTTGGATAAATCGCTAACATTGAAATTCAGATCTTTGCTAATTTGTAGTACTTTTGTATCAAAAATTAGCTCTTCTTTAAAAGTTAAAAGTGTTTTGTCATTGCTAATTCGATTCCATTAGCCGTACTTTTGTACCTTTGCCTTAACTTAGTAATCGATAGTAATTAATAAACAATTACCGTGTGCAGCTGCAAGGCGAATCGAATTGCAGGCAATCGAGTTGGCCAAAGGAAATAATGAATTGTATAATCAGCGTGCATTCGATATGGTTTCTATATGATATGAGGTATATGAAATGCAGCTCACTCTCTCGCTCTCTCTCTCTCTCTCTCTCTCTCTCTCTCTCTCTCTTTATATAACTCCGTCTCTATGTATTCACATCGATATACGTTTGCTGTCCATAGATGCCATTAATTATGTCTATATATGCAGATGAGAATCGCCCTGCCTTAGCAGCTATATACACACATGTATATATATATGTACATATATGATAGATAGACGAGTGCATCTGTAGAAATGCAATTGTTGTCTTCGACTGTTTGCATTGGGTACAAGTTGTATGCATATCAAGTCTCAATGCAGAGCCTCCCACGCAAGGCCTTAATGAACTATCTATTATAGATGAGCTGCGGAACCGATGTGTATATATACTGCTATATACGTATATATCTATATATATATCTTTATGCCTGTTCAGCTGGCAATTAAGACGCATAATCCCCTCACTCGGACCTCAAACTTTGACCT